GCAGGCGCTGCATTTCAAGCCGAAGCAGCTGCGCGGCGACGAGGCCCTTAGCCCTGGCGGGGGCCCCCCCCAGCTGCTGCAGCAGATGCCAGGGGCTCCCAACAGCCCCCAGAGGGGCCACGGGGGGCCCCCACAGCGCCGCAGCCTCAGCCTCACGCCCAGGGCCAGGGGCCCCCGACAAAACCTGCCGCTAGCTCAGGCCTTTCTGAGCCTGCATGCAACTGACAGCAAGCTGCCAGGGGACCCGGACTCTGCTGCTGCTGCTGCAGCAGCAGCAGCAGCAGGAGGGCGCGCCCGCAGCACGACCAGCTCCTTGGAAACGTCTTCATCCTGCTGCCCTGTGGCCAGAACGGACAACTCACAGATGCCCTTTGCTGCTGCTGCTGCTGCTGCAGCTCCGGCTGCTGCTGCTGAGGCTGCTGCAGATGGGGTCCCCATGGAGCTGGAGCGCAGAGAAAGAGGAGACACAGCAGCAGCCCGCAGCAGCTGCCGCTGCAGCCAAGCCTCAAGGCTGGTGAGGTTTGTGCGCAAGGGACGCTTGCGCGCACACTCGCAGCTGCAGCAGCAGCAGCAGCAGCAGCATTGGCTGCAGGACATGATGCTGCAGCAGCTGCAGTGCGGCCATTCAAAAGGAGCAGTGTCGCCCCCGCCTCAGCAGCTGCTGGACTCTGTGCGCAGGAAGCAGCAGCAGCTGCTGTTGCCCACGTTTCCCCTCAAAGGTGTTCGCGTGGGTTTGCTGCTGCAGCGGCTGCTGCTCCTGCTGCTGCGTCCCCGGGGGAGGGGTTTCGCTGCAGTGATAGATAACGGGCTATATGTCAGCCGCAAGCAGCAGCTGCTGCTTGCTGCTGTTGCTGCAGCGCCCCACATAGCCAAGCTTCTCTTGATCCTGCGCCCCTTCCTGCTGCTGCTGCTGCCGCAGCAGCAGCAGCAGCAAGACCCGCAGCCCGCAGGCAGCGCTGCAGCCTACAAGCAGCACATAGAAGTAGTGCTGGGGGAAGGCAGCGTGCTGCTGCTGGTGCTGCTGTCGCTGCAGGCCTTGGGCCAAGCTGTTCTTTTCTTTTGGATGAAAGTTCCCTTTCTGGACTTTTTTTTTGTTGCTGTTGGTGGCTGCCTGCGGCTGGCTTCGCTGCATGCGCTGCTGCTGACCCTGGAGGCCCTCCCGGGGGGCTCCCAAGGGGGCTTGGCCTTTGTCAGGGCCCACGCGGGGGCCCCCGGGGGCCTCCACAGTCTCTTGGGGCCCCACGTCGCTGCTGTGGCGCTGCGGCTCTTGCTTTGCCTGCCCCCTCTTTTGTCGCTGCTGCAGCTGCTGCTGCCCACCTGCAGTCTGCTCTGCCTCAGGAGCAGCACATCCTGCTGTAAGCTCCGCTGCTGCTTCCGCTGCAACTGCTCCTGCTGCTGCTGCTTCTGCTGCTGTCTCAAGCCTCCTGCTGCTGCTCTTCTTCGACCGGTAGCCGCCTCGATATGTGCTGCTATTTCTGCTGCGGCTATCAGCAGCTGCTGCTACCCCAGGCTGCTTGCCTGCTTTGCGTTTCTGCTGCAGCTTGCCGCAAACGGGCCAAGGCTGCAGCACGGCAGCAGCAGCAGCAGCAGCAAGCAGGAAAAGATCTTGCTCCTCTGGAGATGCCTGCGGGAGCAGACGATCCCGCGGTTCCTGCGGGAACAGCTGCAGCGTTGCTGCTGCTGCTCTGCAGCAACATGGGGGCCCCCCTGTCACTTCATACCCTGCTGATAGGGGGCCCCCTGCTGCGCAGCGTGAGGCTGTGCGACCAGCTGCTGCAGCAGCACTTTGACGCTGCGCTGCTGCTGCTGTGCTCCCGCGGAGTCACTGCCAGTTGGGCCCCTGACCGTTTGCTGCTGGCCATTCACCTCTGCTACTTTTTCTTCTGCTGCTGCTACTTGCTGCTGTCTTGCAGTGTGCGGCTGCTGCAGCTGCGGAAGCGGGAGCTGCTGCTGCAGCTCCAGCTGCTGATGGAGCCGCAGAAGACCCGCCCAAAGCACACCAGAGACGCAGCAGCAGCTGCAGCACCTGCTGCTGCATTAAGGGCTAGAGCAGCAGCAGGGCCAGAAGACAATGAGGAGTCACTCCACAGTCGCCGGGAGCGGGCAGCAAATGCAAATGCTGCAGCAGCAGCAGCAGCTGCTGCTGCTACTAATTCTTCCCCCTATGTCCTCCTCTCCGACGTCTCGAAGCACCTGGAGACCGAGGGATTCTTTTCGTCTCCCGGAACTATTTGGCCCCCCTGCTGAGGAGCAGCACCGATAAGGGGAAGCAAGACAAGCAGCAGCAGCAGCAGCCACTCAGTTCCCCGTTTTTTCTTCCATTTTCCTGCAGCTAGAAGCTTCTAAACGCCGCGCGGAACTCATCAACAGCCTCCTCAGCAGCAGCAGCAGCAGTTTTACCCTCTGCCGCTAGTGTCGCTACTGCGAAGTAGCAGCAGCAACAGCAGCAGCAGCAGCAGCATCCGCTGCAGCAGCAAGTGCGGTTCTGCTGTCGAAGTACAGGCCCAAGATGCCCTGCAAAGCGCACTAGAGAGCCTGGGGCCACAAGTGCCCTCTAGCACCCTTCGCCTCCTGAGGCTGAAGCAAATCTGTTTGCTGCTGAAGCAAATCTGTTTGCTGCTGAAGCAAATCTGTTTGCTGCTGAAGCAAACCCGTTTGCTGCTGAAGCAAATCTGTTTGCTGTTGAAGAAGCAGCTCAGCTCAGGACATCTCAGTCTTAGGATTTGGTTTTAGAGAGAAGCAGAGCAGCAAGCTGCCGCAGCAGCACTGAAACTTTCTGCAGCAGCGGCACCAGCATTGGCTAGTCTTGACAGCCTAGCAGCTAGCCTCCAAAGAATGCAGCGGCAGCAGCAACAACAGCAGCAGCAGCAGCTGCAGGTAGAACCGTGCTGCCGCGACGGCAGGCGGGCCCTTCAATGAACTTGTCCTATTCTGTAGCACTCCTTCTCGCAGCATAACTGCTGCTAATGCTAATTCTGGTGCTGGCTGCTGCTGAGTTGCTGCTGCAGCTGATGCTCTGCTCCTGCTGCTGCTGCTGCAGACCCGGTGGTTGCTGCTCGCGTGGTGGCAACAGCAAGAAACTCAACCGTAGCCTCCCAATAACCTAAGCCAGCTTTTCATTATTGTAAGTGCAGCAACAGCAGCAGCAGCAACAGCAGCAGCACAGCTTTGAGCAGCTTCTTTACAATGCGCAAAGCACGGGTTGAAATGTATGGTGAGGGGCCCCCTAATAAGAGGGGCCCCCAACAAGAAACGCAAGGGCCCCCAGCAGGCAGCCGCGGGGGCCCCCACCCAGGGGGCCCCCGGGCCCCTGGGGGCCCCCCTAGGGCTTCTAAGCGGCAATTTAAATGTGTTCAGTGCTTTCTGGGGCCACTATGGTGGCCTCAGACTTTGGGGAGAAGTCATCCTCCACAATACTAGCTGTCTCGGACGCCTGCAAACACGCAATGCTACATATTTCTGCACAATGCTGCTGCTGCTGCTGCTGCTGCCATTGCTCTTGCTGCTGTTTCTGCGTGCTTTGCTGCTACTTGTGCCTTGAGCAGCAGCCACCCTGATGCTCCCAGGCTTCTGCTCCTTCTGCGTCTTTGTCTGTACTCGCTGCACCTCGCGTTGCTGCTGCCGCCGCCGCAGCAGCAGCAGCACGACAACAACAGCAGAAGCAGCAGCAGCAGGGGCAGCAGCAGCTGGAGCACTGTGAGCAGCAGACGCGCAGGCTTGCCTGTGACTGCGCCAGCTTGAGCTTAGGCGCTTCGGGGGCCCCCTTGGCCTCGGGCTCTTCTTCTTCAGGGTAATAATACTCATAAACAACTTCAGCTTCTTCATAAGCTTCCACTGCGACTTTTCCCCTTTCTAGGGCTTCTGTGAATTCGCCTTCTTCCAGCCCTTCCCTCAAATACCTGCATGCAAGCCCCAAACGCAGCCCCAAAATCTCACCCAAAGGGCATGCAGCGCACTTCCGCAGCAGCAGCAGCTGCAGCAGCAGCTGCAGCAGCAGCAGCAGCAGCGGGAGCAGCAAAGGCGGGCTGCCCGCTGCAGCTGCGGAAGCTGGCAGCAAACGAGGGGCCCCTTGGGGGTACAACTGGGGGCCCTAGGGCTGGACTTTCCTGAAGACAAAGGCCCTTTTGGCCAGCATTTTTTGGACATCTTCTATTGTGCTGCTGATCTGTGCTGCGTTGGCCGTGTGGTTGGCCAAGAGGCAGCAGGCCCTGCTGGGGGCCCCCAGGGGGCCCCCCGAAGGCGCCAGGGGCCTCTGGGGGCACACAGAGGCTTTGAACCCTGTGGGAATCCAGTCTACAAATGCATGCAGCTTTTGGGACTTCACTGCCAGCAGCGCCTCCTGCACTTCTCCTGCTGCCACAGCGCCTCTGCAGCAAAACAAACAGCCCACCACACTCACACTGAGGCAAAACTAGCAGCAGCAGCAGCAGCCGCGTCGGCGATAAAGCAGCAGCAGCAGCAGCGGCGGCGGAGGCAGCGCTGGCGACCAAGAAAGAGCAGCAGGGGAGAAGCAACAGCAGCAGGAGAGAGGCAGCAGCAGCAGAAGAAATGCCTCAGCAGCAGCAGAAGAGAAGCCGCCGCAGCAGCAGCAGCAGAGGAGCGGCAGCAGCAGCAATCGCAGCAGCAGCAGAACGCAGGCGAGAGCAGGAGCAGCTGTGGCTGGAGCGACATGAGCAGCAGCAGCAACAGCTGTCGCCGCAGCAGCAAGGAGCACAGGACAAGGATCTGCATTCGCAGCAGCTCCAACAGCCACACGGGAGTAACAAAACTCGCAGCACCACCAGCTGCAGCAGCAGCAGCAGCAGCAGCAGCAGCAGCAGCAGTAGCAGGAAGGCAGCTGCGACCTGTAGAAGAGGTTGGCGGTGAGGAACATGCCGCGGGTGTAGGGCGCGGAGAAGAGAAACTGTCGTTGTTTGAAAACTTCCAAAGTTGTGTCTTTGGTGGAAGTTTTGAGAAAAGGCAGCAGCTCTTTTGCTGCTAATGGAAAGTAAGAAGCTGATAGCAGCGCCAAAGACGGCAGCGGCACAGAATTGCTCAGCAAAGAACCCAAGCAGCAAGTACCAGCAGAAGGAAACCGCAGAGAAAGAGTAACGCCTGCGCCACCCCACACACCGCGCCAGGTGTACGTACACTCCAACGTGCGCGTACACCCCAAACCCACACCTTGTGAAGGCTGCCGGTTTGGGGCGTACGTACACTCCAACGTGGACGTACACCCAAACCCACACCC